AGAGTAAGGTGGGGAAAGAAGTTATAGTTTTGTTAGTGGAGTTTAAAGTAGTTATATTTGTGTAATTTTTTATCATAAAGGTAGGATTTGCTTGAGTAATTAATTAGGTTTTATTTTTTAATGATTTATCAACACATATATAATTCAGTCTCAAAAAAAAAAAACAGTCACATTTAATATTGACATTTTATAACATTTTAATTGCTGTTTAGTCTTCAAATTTAGTTCTGGTGATTCAAAACTATTATAATGTTCACTTCTATGTATGAAGTGTTAAATGCCACTCATCTGTATAATGTATCTTCTCTTGTACTCCGTAGTAGTTTATCTAAACATGTCAGACTATAAATAAATACATATGTATGAAGCTAAAAGTTTGGTGATGTTTTTGTAGAGTATTTTCTTCTGAAAGAGTGTGCTAAATTAGTGGAATGGACTCTATTATTGGTGTTTACTTGCAGAGTTGAAGATATGTACTTGAAGGAAATGAGGAAGAGGAGATCAGCAGATTGCTCGATTAGCTGAGGATGGTGATATCTATAATATGCTCTCCAGATCATTGGCTCCAGACAGAAAAGGAGGCCCCAGAGAGCTTTGACACAGGAAAGAAAAAAGAGAGGCCCCAAGGACTATGCAGATGTTTGTTAACGAAGCGCATAGAAGGAACTAAACTAGCATCATCAAGTCAATGATGTGTTTTGACACCAGCAACTTCTGGAAATAGCCAAGGCACTTCACTCTTAAATGAATTGGTTCCTGGTGCAGATCTGGATACTTTTTTTTATTAGGGATATAAGTTGAATCTCAAAATTACATATTCTATTTGTGCCAAATTATTCAAGTATGACAGCAAAATATGCATAAGATGACAATAACTCAAGAAAACCGAATCATGAAATAACAGATAATAACCCAAAAACAATAACATAAATTAATGAATCAATAGTCATAACACAAGAGTAAACTAATAACAGCAACGCAATATCATGATACAAAAATTGAGTTTCAGCCTGCTCTAACAGAAACTAGTAAACTCACCCGTGCGATGCACGGTTTAAGAATTTTTCTTTCAAATTTATGTGTGCTTAGTAATTCAAATCACACTATCAATTGATGACGTCATCTATCTTCATGTAATACTGATATACATGAAAGCATTAGAAGTCTAAGTATAAACATCTCAAGTAATATGGTGACTATGCATTTATACAAATTGAATCAGTAGTCATATGGTGACTATGCACACTTATAATTGCATCAGCGGTCTAAGTGTAAACATCTCAAGTAATATGGTGACTATGCATTTATACGAATTGCATTTTTTACACAAATTGCTCGGGTACATTGGCAAATCAGGAGGGGTGCAAATATGTGAAGGTGTGTTGTGACATTATTAAACAATACTCAAATATGAATTTGTGAGAAAATGTTAATTAAGTTCGTATATGAAAAGTAATGCTATCAATTTCAGCACAATAACTTTCGAAACACATTCAACAGATAGAATCTATAGTAATTCTTAATTCAAAAATAGCTAATAAATTAATTATATAAATATGTACCCAAAAAACATAAAAGAAACCTCCCCTTATTTTCCAATATTTGTTACTACAGACCAAGTGTGAAACCTCCATTCACACTTCCATATGCGTTGTGTTGTCATGCTCTTTGTTACAACACAGTACATATGTTTTTAATTTGGTTTTCAATTTTCATACGTAAGTGCCGATCTTACAATTGCCCCACACAAAATCCCCCTCAAATATTTTCCACAAATCCACACAGTTTATATGCCGGTGGAAAAAATAAACATCAACTTCTACCATATTAAATAGACCACATCAGCATACCACCTACATAAACATCTGTATATATGATTTCTACAAAAATATACGGAGTATCAGAATAACTCAATTTTTTATGGCACTCGGTCTCATTCCCCTCTTCTACAAAACCTTGATTCCAGAATTCATTGTTTTACACACCATGGCTCCATCTTAAATTGATGCATTCCCAGAATCCCTAAAATCTAAGATTGTTCATTGACTTTTCGTCCAGTAAAGTCTTAATTATGAATAACATCATAATCATGTTGATACTTTTAGCTTTTAAGCATTTTTTGTGTAGTATTTGTAGTTGTAATTTGACCCACTAATTAACACTCAACAAACTGAATAACTTCTATCATTGAAAAAAAAACTCTCTTAAAATATGCTCTGATAATATTTAGATTTAGATATACAACTAACGCTAGATATAATTAATCATAATAAATACTCCGCAGTATACATTTTATTGAGCAATAAAATAAATTGATGAGTACTTTATTTTGAATTAATCAACACACACACGAATACTTCGTATAATATATTCATAACAAACATGCATAAACGTATTTCCATGATATTATTGTGAATTGCAGCCGTTCAACTTCGAACTATAGAACCTGAGAGGGAAAAGAGAAAGAGAAGAGACAGAATGAAATTTTCGATGGTATTCAGTTTGGCACGATTTTGCGAATTATTTATAGCGAAGTGAACCAACTTGCCAACTTGTATGCACCGACCCAAGGAACAGCAAGTGGGATATCTTTTGCTGATTTTCTTTTTTCGTTTTCTAAATCCTCGACGATATGGAGTACTATTGAACTTTTGAATAGTCAATTCTATTACAGGCTGGCGACATGATGGGTCTTCAATTCTTCATCCATTTTTTGTTTTATTGAGCTATTTTCACCAAATACTCCGTATGGCATGATTACTTTCAATGGATAAAATCTTCTCCAACACGCCTAAATAACTTCAGAATATTTATTTTTGCACTTTTTTTGGGAACTTAGTGTCGATCCAGTTGATGTTGACAGATTTGAGCGGCAAATCTGTAGCAAAAAAAGTTTTCCTTTTAGATATTAGTAGATGCTTCTTATCATGCTTCAACATTCTAAATCTGGCAGATTGAGATCAAATTGTTGATTACGATTTTGAGACCTGCAATAACGACACATATTACTATATTAAATATTTAAACTATATAGATGGAATATAAAGGAATAAAAAGAGTGCTTAATAAAATGTAAAATATTCAATAACAAAGTTAAATTTTGACCTCTCTGGCTGTGAAACTTGGCATGATCTAGCATTATGGCCACTCTTCTTGCATTTTCTACAACATCTAGCCTTCTCAGATGGGTGTTTAAGGCGTGAACCTGAACCTCTTATTTTTGTAATTTTTGGATCTTTCACAGAAAGTTTTGGTGAGTGGGAAGACGGTGTTGATGGATGACTTGGATTCATCCCCCCATCGTCCAAATGTGCAAGATGATCCATAACACCCTTTAAGACCCCTGCAAAGTAGTTGCTTCGTTCTTCAGTTAAGGATGCCATGTGAACAACTTCAAAAGCAGACAATCTTAGCTTGACCCGCCTTGTCCATAATTTCTTACCAACAAATGAATCAGTTGCAGGCTGATAAATAGGGTTTATCTTTGCTTTCTTTGTCCAACGATGAAGGATATATTTTTCTGGCAATAACAACACCTGCTCGAGCCTCATCCATATGAGAATATGGCGGCAAGTAATCCCCATAAATTCAAATTTTTTACAGCTGCAAGAAACAAAATCTGAGAATATGTCGTATGTCAGCTTGTGTGTCGTAGAGCTATAGGTCAAATCAATATCACATCTCTTAACATCATAGATCTTAGTTTCAACAGAGCTAGAAACCAGGTGGCAAGTGTAAAGAGCACACTCGTCATATTGTTTCTGGAACTTACAAAAAATTGCCTTTGTGTAAATTCCAACCATTTGTCGTTCCATTAAATAACTCGATTTCACCTGTGGCACTTCATTTCGATCGCGGTGATCAGCAAGAAGCTCTCGATGCCTCTGTCTTACAATAGCCCGAGTAATACGGGTCACACACTGGCTCATGGTGCACTTCTTGTTAACATACTTTTTAAAAAAAGCATGTGTGCTTTCGACACGATGACTACTTAACATTCCAGCACAAAAAATGTGTTTCACAAAACAAGGAACCCATTTCATACGAATTTCATATATATCAGCAAGCCAACTATTTTCATTCAACTCTGGCAACAAAAGTTTCTCAGTCCACCGTTGCTCAAAATCACTTGTGCTCTGTGAACTCATAATAATATCAACTAATTCTTTATGGAGTTTGGTATATGCTGAGCTAGAGACATTCATCTTTTCAGGGAATTTTTTAAGTATATGCCATAAACAATGATGATGTGATACATTTGGTAATACATCTGCCACTGCTCGAGCTATAATTGCATCCTGATCAGTTATTATTACTTTTGGGTGGGGTCTAGGATTCATAGCTTCTAAAAACTTTGATAGAAGCCAAGAAAATGACTCAGTTGATTGATCACTTAGCAAACCGCAACCGAAAACAGTAGTTTGACGATGGTGATTAACACCAACAATTGGAGCAAGATAAAATCCATACTTGTTCGTATTGAATGTTGTATCAAATACAACCACCTCGTTGAAAAATGAGTATGCATTCCTACTATCACTATCGGCCCAGAAGCATCTAGTAAGAACCTTTTCACTGTGTAACACCCTGATTTTTATGAGCTAGTTACATTAATCATTATTAATTATTTTAGTCAGCTAAATAAGTTATTCGATGAATAATATGATAATTCTTTTATGATGTTTTGTTTGTGCCAGGTAACGTTGGCCGGTAAGCTCCAATAATTTTAAGTGAAGAAATAATTAATAGTATATATTTATTAGTATATTTTCTTTAAAAAGAATAATATAATAATTTGGTTGGGTTCAGAAGCAGGTTTATTTTAGAGGACTTGGAGACCCAAATCAGTTATATTGGCCCGAATTAGTACTTTAACCAAAATCCTTAGAGCAACCGCAACGCTGAGCTTTCTAGTGAAGATTAAGTGCGCCATGTCATCAATTAGGACATTATGTATTAAATTTGGCTTCCAATGCAGGTAGTCTTCTGATGAGTTGGCAAAAAAAATTAAAACAGTGTGAAGGGCAAGGTGCGAGTGTAGAAAGCCGCTTGAACATGCTGACTAGGATAAACTCATCTCAAAAACCTTCGTCTCTTCATTACCGCCACTTCCAGGGGAGATTGGATGTTCTACATCGACAGGGCGGCTCCTGTTTGGAGCTAATCATCGAATCGGTGGGGCACCCATTTGCAAACAACCGTCGAAGGAGTGAAATCGGAGGGGGGTTTAATCGCCGGCGTCGCCGCTACAGTATTCCATGGAAGAAGCGGCGTACATGTCCTTCCACCCGGAGTCCGGCCTTCAGTTTTCTGGCACCACCAAAAGAGCTTTCAAGTCGTCTATCCTGAACAGTGCGGTGGAAAGATCGATCTCCGGCAACCAGGAACAAATCCTAGGCAATAGGTGCTGTAGCCATAGACCCAGTTGCAGGGCTCTCTCCGGCTACCAGGCACGAGCAAATTTTGGGCAATTGATGCTCCCAGCCAGAGACCCGGTTGCAAAGCTCTCTCCGGCAACCAGGCACGAAATTGCCGTAGAAGTGGGTGAAATCTGGGATTACATATTTACATTCGTCGAAGTGGGTGAAATCTGGGAACGGCGGCAGCCATTGAATGGTGGTTCTCTGGATTCACGGTCACAAGTTGGAGAGGAGATGGCCGCAAATTGAAAGCGAGAATGTGTATTGGTAATGAGTAAAAATTTAAATTGAAAATAAAATTCCACGTGAACATTTGAATCAAATTTGGGACTTTATGCATTGGAAGCTTTTTGTCTATTTCAAAGTTCAATCGGTACACTATGCTTAGAAAGCCTTTTCTTTATTTGACAATTGTCATCATTTAGCTTCACTAGGACATTTTGCATTGCGGTTGCTCTTAGTAAGAAATATTTATACCTCATTTTCTCCCTGAAATAGTTAAGTTCTGTTCCTTTCCTTCCGTAAGCCGCCGTTGTATTCCCTGTTCTTCCGTCCTTCACAAAATTTCCATCTTGCTGAATTCACTAACCAAACTCAGGTATGTCAAAAAATTCCCTTCCAGGACATGCTTTCTTTGTTAATTTAGTGTCTTTCGTAAGAGATTGGCGTGGTAGAAAAGTTTTTAGCCAAAATTATTTCTATTTAGTTAAACAAAATTTGATCCATTCAAGTATAAGTTGAATTTTCTTCTGGTGTATGAGTTACTATTTAATCAGACTGTAATCTGAATGGTTTGGGTTCTAACGAGGAAACCTTTCTTCCTAGATCAGAACCGGATCAATTCGCATTTAAGATTTATTTGTAATTCAAAGGAATAAAACAAAGATTGATTTTTAATGTGCAAAGCTGCTGTCTTTTCAGTTTAAAGAAATTATTTACGGCTTTGAAGGCATAGTTGTCTGGGAAACAATTCTTTTAAGGTTTTAAAGATTTGTTTCAATGGGTTACTCTGTATACAAACTCTAATAGTGTGTCGTGGGATTCTAGTAGCCGGAGCAAAAGACTTACTGGTTTCATTGGAAAGAAGCAATTTTTCATAATGATCCTAGAAATTAGTTTTATGCCCCATGTGATTTTCAAGCTACTCTTCTACGAATGGCAGCAGCGTTTTAATTATTTTTTTTAAATAAGAAATCTGATTCTATTTTAGTATTTTATTTAGAAGAGATTTAACTTACAGATTTAAATGCATAATTCCTGAACAAAAACACATTGATTTTTAGCTTAGTTATGATTTCAATGAGCTGCTACATTGAGATTAAAAACCATAGCTAGTACTCCTCTTCTTTATGCGTACAGAACCTTTAGAATTCTTATTTGTTCATGAGCAACTTCCACAAAGACCATACAAGTCAAGTCGGTGTTGAAGTTCTATTAAATTATAGCAAGTTCTGATTACACTTTTATATCTAATTAAAGATTTGAAAGAAGAGCTTACCGGAAGACGTTATCAAGGTGCCACACTTATTTGAGTAAATTGAGTTCAGCTAAAACAGGTAAGTTCACTACCACCTGTATATGTTTGTTCAACCAAACGAGTAGGTGTTTTTGCAATCCTTTGATTTCAACAATTCAACCTGTTATATCTATCTATAAAATTAAGACCCTATTTTCGCAAAAATCAATCCAAAACTTGGTGTAGTCCAAAACTATTCGCCCACAATGTCAATTATCGATATTAATAACAATTATTGTAAAACAAAGTTATTTTACATTTAAATTAAATCCAAGCCTTTAGATTTATTCATCATTGGTGGTTCACCATTACTCCCAAATCCTTCCAATGGCATGCGATAGAATGAATTTTCTTTGTTTATCATTATTTGTAAAAAAAAAATGATACGTAACTTAGCTTGTACCAATACTCAAAAGACCATCGATTATCTAAAGATTGAAACAATTTTTTTTCCTGAAAATGTGTAGAGTGAGTGTATATCCTAAAAAATGAATTTTTTTGTTTAGTAGTTATAGAATAGTTCGCCATTTGTAGTATTCAATAATGAATTTTCATTGCAGTGACTTTACAAAACTATTTCCAATATAAAAAAAAACAATAATTGTAGACTAAGGGAAAAGTGCGACCACTTCTTTGATGCTTGTTACTCTCACAATTCACGTTTTCTTTAATTTACATAATTAAACACTTAGAATAAAATGCCTAACCACCCGCTGAGAGTGTTCTCAATGTGTGCACACTAAAAAAATTATTTCATGCAATAGAACTCCATTAAAAAAGCACATGTTTCATCACATAAAATCTTTCCACTTATCATTTTAATTTAAACACTATTCTAATTGAAATAACCTTTAAATGCTACTCTTTTTGTCCTGTTGAAAGGTTCTCACTTTTCTTATTTGACCGTTCCATTTAAAAGTTCTCATTTCATTTCAGAAAATAATTTTCTCTATTTAATTACACATTTTCTTCGAATTTATGTTTCTTATTCATTACATTTCAAATCTCACAATGTCCCTCCCCAACTTATCTCCCTTTAATTACTTTCACTTTTTTTGTTTACTTTTTCTAAATTTTAAATCACAAATAACCAATGCGCCAAATTTAAATATCATAAGAGGGTTTGTTGTATTAAAGATGTTTTCTTTTGAATAGTTTTCAGTCTCAGACCAAACCAAAACAGACCAAATTAGACGAACAAATTTTAGTTTAAAAGAAAACATCCTAAACCCGACACATTTGTATACGTCTGTCAGAGTATAACTCAGCCTAATAAAAGTATATAACTGTTCAAATAAAACCCACTAAATTCAAGCCCAGCCCATAATTTTTAAACATCCTCAAAAGAGTTTGTATGTATAGATATTTCAAGAAGAGGGTTTTCATTAGGGATAATTTGAGTTTGCACCACATATTATTGTCTAAATTTGACTTTGCCCCCGTTCTTAAAAACTTTGTTTTTGCACCCCAATCCCATATGAAAAGACAAAAACACCTCTCCATTAACAATTTTGTTGACCTTCAACATATTTCCGATTGAGGGCATTTTTTTCTTTTCATATGGCGTTAGGGTACAAAATCAAAGAATTCAAAAAACGGGATGCAAAATCCAATTTAGACAATAAAATGAAATGCAAACTCAAATTATCCCTTTTCATTAACCCAAACCGTTCGTATTCCGCCTCATCCTCTAAATTCTCCCTTCTAAGGCATCGAATTAGCTACACCTGAATACCTGATCGGTCTCTAATGGGTTCTGTGGTTGCTGATACTAAGTTGTTAGCAACTAATTTTGTTCATTGTTCCTTTAAACATGTTAATCATTGTTTAATGAATGTTCGTAGCGGCACATAAGCTTGCTCGTAGCTGTGAGCATAGTCATTAACTGTATGTTTCATGGTGTTATCCCAGATTGTATCCAGGATGTACTCGTTAGTGATGCTCCTTAATCAATGAAATGTTGTTATTCTCAAAAAAAAATCTACCTTCTAACCCTTCGAATTCCACCGCATCTATCGATCTATCGTCGCTCATAAGGTTAGTTTCTTATTCATCTTTCATCACTTAACATCGTCCATTGTTCCTCATCAATCTTTCATATCCGCCCGTTTGACAATACAGTTACCTTTGAAGATCTATCAAATGGCAGAATTTTCGAGAGATAAGGTCATCTGAGATCGATTGCACAAAGATGAGTATTTTGTATCATCTCATTTTAGTTATTAGTTTTTCTTTGCATACAATTACCTATACTCCGTATTTATAATAGATTTATAATCTAATCACTGCATGTATGCTTTATAGGTTCTTAAGATGGGGTTCTATCAAATGATGGCATAAGATATTGTTTCAAAGAAAAAAACATTAGTTTTTGAACTGTGTTCTGGTGAATAGAGAGAGTTTCACACTTTCACCAGAACCTTAACTTTGAACTGGATGTTTCAAAGAAATGGGGTTCTAAAGATATTTGTTTAGAATAGGTGTTTCACACTTTCACCAGAATATTATTTTTTAACTTTTGAAACTTTTTTTGGAATGAAAAAAAAAAATAGAATAGTATTTGTCTCAAATGGATGTTTTCTATTTATTAGTTTTAATATTTTTGATTTTGTTTTTCTGAAATCCATAAACTTATACTTATAGTTGAACTTTTGGACACTGTTTATTTTAAGCCTTTTAATTCTTTAAACCTATCTTTGAACTTTTTATTTCTGGTACGACTTTATTTCTAATATTTCAATATATGCTCTGTAAGTTTGTTATTGGTTTGGTATAAGAGGACGCGCTAAGTAAGGACAATCATTACGATAAAAAAAAGTAAGGACAATCATGTTATAAATGATGGTTTGTTGATACAAAGTACTTGACTCTAAAGAATATAATACACTCGATATGTTATTTGTTGCTAAATACATCATTCCTTTACACGTTACTAACAACTGTGTATATACTAAGATTGATTTAAAAAAAAAAGTTAAAATAGATATTCCTGATTTTTTCAGACGTTTTGCAACCAACCAAATTTACATGCATATAAACATATGCTATGTTGTGGTGATCTGGCAAACATTTTATAAGGTGATGCTATCTTTGCATTTTACTCTACTAAGATCATCATTTGATACATTCCCGAAAGAGTTCTATTGCATAATCCTCTTTTACAATAGTTCAATGATATAGGATGGATTAGTTTTCTACTTAAATTTTGCCTGTTTGCAGTTTGGTTGTTAAGAATATTCGTATATATAGACTTAAGAGACTTAACCCATTATAAACGGCTACACTAATTAATGGCATTTGATTACCCTATGATTTAATTTCTAACTGAGGTTTCTAGATTGCATGACTCCAAAGCTTATTAGACAAATTTAGCTCTTCTTTGGACAGCCTTTCCAATAAATAAGATTGCATGTTTCTATTCTGAATTAAAATGCTATCTAACTTGTTCGAAAAATGAAATGGGGTAACATCAATATCTGGTGATTCTGGTCTATTAGGGAAACACACACACTGACACACTGATGTATTACATTTAAAGATATGATAACATATTAAAAAATATACACATGATTTATGGGGAAAGCATAACTTGAAAGACCAACTAAAAAACATATCCTACTGCAGGTTTTCCGAAGCTGTGTCCAAGAGTTGGGCGGAGGATTGGCGAGGAGGGGCCGCATGCGTAGAGTTGCTATTTAAAGATGCATTATCTTTTATTTGTATGGAGGATACCAATAGCCATTTTAAATGTTTGTATCAGTGTATGTTTAGAGTAATTACTCATGCTTTCAATATTCTAAATAACACGCACGTTGTCCCAATCGTTTTCTGAAGAATCGTTAATTGCTTCTCAATCAGCCCTTTATTAATTTACATAGAGAATCACAATCGGCCAACAATAAAGCACCCTTGTTGGAAAAACAAACAATCCAGCAGCACATTAATTGAATAAGCAATATCTTCACGCATGTATAATCCAGTGCATTTCGACATAGGGCACGACAGAGTGGACTTGCAGTCAATTGGGCGGGAACACTGTTATAATAGATGAAAGACAGAAGTCTGGTTGATTTTTAGTAGATGATTTTAGACTGTTTGCTATTATGTGAACTTGGTGAATTATTTGATGAGTTATTTTATTAAACGTATTAAGTTATGTTTATTATCTGGCATAGTCAAGATTATGTCAGTACTTTTATTTCGAGATTTTAATGATGTTTTTTAATCAAACGTCACCATAAAAAGAACTACTATTTAAAGTGAAAGATAAGGTGATATGTACTCGGGAACAAGTTCCCTCAGATTAGCAGTTTTCAGTTTCAGATAGTCCGATATGTTTAGTGGGTCGCTCCCCTGAATTGTCGGATTGGCGCCTTTGAGTACATATCACGGGTCCATAGTTAAAATTAGCCACAAAGAGTTTTACAGAAAGTTTATGAGATCTCTTTCAGAAAGTTTTACAGAAAGTTTAATGAGATCTCTTTCAGAAAGTCTTACAGAAAGTTGTTTTTGAGATCTCTTTCAGAAAGTTTATAGAGATGTTTTTAGAAAGAAATTTTGAGATCTCTCCAGCAGTTTTGAGAAATTATTTTAGAAAATATTTCCTTTTGAGATCTCCCTCAAAATGAATTTGAGAAGATTTGTGTTAGTTACTTGTTCAATGCATGCTTATAGCCTAATTTTATCTATTGATAAATTAGCATAGACTTCTCAGATATATTTGTGGATCCATAGTGACTTACTAAGCGTAAAACTTATCGGTTTTCTTTCTTCGCATGTACAGATGTTAAAGGTGAGGCCAGCGCCTAGGAAGGTGATGAGAGAGTGGAACGTGTGCCAAGATGAGTTAATGGGAACGACCTTGGCGGCTTCCAGCTAGCTATTATTATGTTTTCGTATTTCAGTTAATATAATAAAGAGTTTTACTTTATTTTATTTAAGGTTTGATGTTGAATAAATTCCTGGATCCAGGTGGTTATCATATTTGCCGGTGATAACTCTATTTTTATTAAGTTTTTTATTTGGAGCTGTTCTAGTTACTTTTGAGATTTTATCAGGGTTATTTTCTTAAATAGACGGCCGTTATATTACAGTTTATTTTTAAAAGTAGTAAGTTAGTGTAACGTATCCTTTAACCCTGAGAGGGGCGTTACACACTGTCAATCTCATACTTGTAGAAGAAGTCACAATTCCTATGTTTTTCCGTTTGAAATCCATGAATCATTGTTTTCACATCGATCCCATTAAATTTGGATTTCAATGAGGTGTTGTAATTATATATATCAGTCTCTGTGCACCCCATCATAGCTAGGCCTCCAGCTTCGTTCTCCAACAACCGAATTTGGGTATGTGTCTCAATATTTGCTTCTCCCCACTCATTCATCAATACTCTCTTAGAAGATGACACTTCTCGATGAGAACGAAGCAAATGTATCTTACTAGGACTAACAAGGTCATGATTATGTATCTTCTCGAATTGGGACAGAGTCCACAAACCGCTTTGTCGATCTCTTGAAACATGCATCTTAGCAAGACACCCACACCTAGTTTGACCTCTATTCCTTTCAAAGGCAATCTGATTTTTCTTCCGTGATGACACATTTGTCTGGCCTTCTTTAGAGCATGTAAATGCTCTCCATGTTATAACTCCAACTTTATTAACAGTTGAGTTTTTTATTTTAGTACTGAACCCAAGCAGCTTTGCATATGCATTATAGAAAGCGTGAGCATCATCTAGCGACTGAAATTGTTGGCCTAATTTAGGCGTTTCCTCAAAATAAAGATCTGAAAGAAAAATTAATATTACACAGAATCTTGAATTAGTATATGAAATTAAGTTTTTTTTTTAAATTGGACTATTTTGGATATGAAAATTATTTCAAAATGTTACTTATTTAAAAATATTTTCATAAAAATATAAAGTTCATAAATTATATACAAGTATAATAACTAAAGTCAATTTCCATTGTTTACCATCAATGATCAAGAAAATTAAAGTTCCCATGATGAACCTTTTCATGACGAAAATAATAGTAAAAAAACACATAAACAATACATCGAATATTACATTTAATCTACTCGATCTGACCTATCATTATTATGTGTAAATAAGTTCTGACAACAATTATTGGTATTAAGTGTAGTTTTTATTTGAGACTAAACACATACAAGAATAAATAATCTCACCGTTGCAACATACAAAAAGATGACAAAGAGATTTTTTTTGTGATATACGCTCCGTTCTAAAAATGGCGTCTAGTCCCCGCCTAGGCGCTAAGCGGCGGTCAAGCGCCCCGATTTGATCTAGGCGCTCCGACTAATTGGTTTGCCGTCTATGTGAATTACTCGGCCGTCTATGGCGCCTAGTTGCCTTCCTATAGCGCATATTCGGCCACTTAGGCCGTCTAGATTCGTTGAACGTAACATTACTTTACGTTTTAATTTTTATTTTCTAAGCGATATAAGTACTTTAACTTTAGCCACAAATATAAAGAAATGAAGTTATAAATAAAGATAAAAACTCTATATGTTTATAACACAATTCCAATGAAGTTAAGTGATTAGTTATCATATACTATGTATGACTAAATGTGATAATTCTATCATTCATGTTTGTTAATGTATGTGTATATATTTATTTTATACACACACAAAATACAATATTACTTGACATATTTATGAAAAAATATATATGAAATGCAATTTTTAAGTTTCCGGCTAGTCCCCGCCTAGCCGCCTAGGCGCTAGGCGCTAGGCGCTAGGCGATGGGCTGGCGCCCGACTAGCGCCTAGCGCTTTTGAGAACATTGGATATACGTAACAAAAAATTATACTCCCTCCGGTTCTTTTTAAACTTCGGTGTTTGACTTCACAGTTATTAAGGAAATAAAGTTGACTTTACTGTAGAGTACACTGTTGAGACACTGTTTGGCACTGTTTGGCACTGTTGAGACACTGTTTGACACTGTTGAGACACTGTTTGGCACTGTTTGACACTGTTTTGGTGTAGATTTCTTTGCCAAATAAGGAAATAAGGAAGTGTGAAGTTTATTTTGGACCGTCCCAAAAAAGAAAGTGAGAAGTTTATTTAGAACCGGAGGGAGTAATGAAGATGAAAAACCTTCATTATTTTGTATATTCAGTGATGGAATGTTGAGAATACCTGCATCAGCAAGTAGTACGCTATTGTTGTCCATGTGAAACTGTGGTTGTGCTCCAAAGCTTCTACAGAAAATAGTTGAATTAATAATCTATGTAGCTTCTACGTTAACTATCAAAATTGTCGAGATAAACATGTGTGAGATCAGAAAATATTTATTTTAATGATTTAATTTCATAAATAAAGAGATTGAATAAAAAATTGATAAATCACACCTTTCAATGGTTTACGGAGATGCAGTATTTCGTCCGATGTTCTTTAGTGTACGTATGGGTTTAGACTTTAAGTGTAGAAGAACCACAAATTCTCTTTTGAGAACTAGCGTGCAATGTCAAAACACAATTTAATTTAATTAATTTAATAATAATAGAATCCAATTAGAAGTGAATAACTTATGTGGGAGCCATGCTAAAGGAGTACGTGCTCAATAAGGAGCCCGCTCGTTGAAATTTCTGGGAGGAATTGACCCACTCAAAATCAAAAGTGATTTTCGTATGATCAAAAGCTAGTGGAAAATAATGGAGAATGGGAGAGTTTTTCTTTTCCTTCTTTGTACGTAGGAGCAGAGCCGAGAATTAGCATGCAGTGAGTAGCCTATACGTAGTAATCCGTATATATCTAGAAAACAAGGAGGCAGAGAGATCGTCCAATCTTTAACGGAAATCAGACATAAATACATGTTTTAAACAACTTAAAGAGGTGAACGGCTAAATTAGGGGCGGGCAAGAATCCCGATCCCGTTGTCCCATTCCGGTATATCCCGAAACCGTACCGGTGTTGTCCCGTTCCGTTTGGGTCTCATTGATTTTGTCCCGCACCGGTTTAAAACGGGACGGGACCGGGACATTGGAAGGTTATCCCGAACCGTCCCGTTTGTAATAACTATATAGATTTTGTAGCATGTGACTAGTGTGTAATGTCAACTCAAAAAATAAATGGTAACATGTTTTTAGTTCTTCAAGCCCAATTTTTAAATTAAAAATAATACCTAACATGAATATTTACTAACATAGATTTTTATCCCACTTTATATAACTACATATGAGTATCTCACAGCTAGAACACATGATTTTGAATAAACTAATTCATTTTTGCTTTGTTTTAAATTTAAATTTCAAATTTTGCTAAACCTAACTAAAATCTAATACGTAGTAGCTTTTAGTTTGTGATGAACATCAATTAACTTTTAAAATGTTAATATTTTGGTGCATGATACTTTAGAAATGCTAATATATATTAATTACAAATGATTATTTTTTGTTAGTTTGGGACGTCTCGAACCGTCCCGAACCGCTCCGAACCATCCCGGTCCCAATTTAAATGGGACAAGACTAGGACAAAGGCTTGTCCCGTACCGTCCCGTCTCGTTATTATTAATTGGGACGGGACCGGGATAACCCTAATCCCGAACCGTTCCGACCCATGCCCACCCCTAGGCTAAACTGATCCTATTCTTAAGGATCCATTACTAGCTACTTGACTAATCATGATCAATTTGAATTTCAAATTAACAATCCAGTCAGCAGCTATTATATTGTTCACACAGGCTGCTCGTTTTTATTATTAATATTAAAACCGGTTTAGTTCTAATAAACCACAAATTTATTGTTCAAATTTTTAGAGAGTTCAGTGTCTAAGCTATGATACTTGAACAATGTTTCTTATCACATAATGATTATTATAAATAATCATACGAGACCGTTTATTCTCTAGTACAGAACAAATAAACTCATTATTTTGATACATCACTTTAAAATCTTTACAACTATGGATTCCAATCACAACATAAATCCAAATATGTAAATAGTTCTTTGATGTACTAAGAGCCTCATCTCCATTTTTAATAGAATCATATCTTGAGTAATCTTCCGGTCAGGTATACCTGACCGGAGCCGCCGTCCGGCCTCCTCCTTTTGGGGGCCTTCCCGGTAGTATTTTTTGCTCAAATTTTTTGTGTATGTTCCTCAACAAGTCTAGTTCATCCATACCAAATTTCAGCCAAAAATTCAATCGGGAAGGTCTTCAAATGATTTTTGCAAGTTAACTGGTCCGGAAAATACATATTCCGGACCAGTTAACTTGCAAAAATCATTTGACGACCTTCCCGATTGAATTTTTGGCTGAAATTTGGTATGGATGAACTAGACTTAATGAGGAACCTACACAAAAAATTTGAGAAAAAAATACCATCGGTAAGACCCCCAAATGGAGGAGGCCGGACGGGGGCAGTGGTCAGGTATACCTGACCTGAATATTTCTCTCATATCTTAGGACACAAAATTGATGCGACCCTCAAAATTAACATTTATGTCATCATATTTCCAACATCAAAAATAGTCAAGGGAACATATACTATTTTTAAAAGACATGTCTCAAACAATTGGGTTCGGTGTATCTTCGAAGATTACATTACACTTCTGAATGTCGGATGTCGAGATCATGTTTTACGAAATGGATCCTTATCTTGTGAATGACGTGTATACTATGAGTAATACACTGAATTACTGGAGATAATATTGGTGATCAAACTTTGAACGCAATATTCAAATACGATTCAAAAATTATGACTGGTCAGTTAAATACACAAATCGTCGTCCGAATGACATAGAAATGAATTTCGAAGTTGAGTTACACGTCATGTATAATTCTAGGATCATTTCTACATCAAACAACACTATGAGTCCAAATAATGTTTGCATAGGGAACTCTATTCAACTCAACTCGAAAATGAGATCATCCGATATCGTATTCAAAATTTAAGTCAATTTTCGTGACACGTTTGATTTAGTAAGCTTCAAAACACTGAAGACTTGTATGTTTTTTTCTATTCATATTTTGGACTTGAATCGTGAATGAGAATTGTGTATTTTTGCATAGGAAACCCATTGCAACTCGAAATGAGATCATCCGATGTCGTATTCAAAATTTAAGTCAATTTTCGTGACTCGATTGATTTAGTAAGCCTGAAAACACTGAAGACTTGTATGTTTTTTTCTATTCATAATTTGGACTTGAGTCGTGAACGAGAATTGTGTATTTTTGCATAGGGAACCCATTGCAACTCGAAATGAGATCATCCGATGTCGTATTCAAAATTTAAGCCAATATTCGTGATTCGGTTGATTTAGTAAGCCTCAAAACCCTGAAGACTTGTATGCTATTTTCTATTCATAATTTTGAATACGAAGACTAAGTTAATTAAGTCCAAAAGTAGAGACAAGACTACTATGTATTTCGAGACTTCTGTGTTTTCTTACAAGTCTTCAGTTTACATATGATTTTTCCATTTAATTGTCTTCATATACAGTGAATAGGAAGCCAATACCGGTAATGTTCACGAAATATTAATCTAAGTAACATTGGAGTCCATTGAGCATATTACTAAATTTATATGTATCGTTTAATTATAAATAAACAGTTTTATAATCTTAAATGACACTAGGGACCAGATTGGTTAATCATCCTATGCAATCAAGTCCATGGAAACATATAAGTGAAACCCATTGCAAATACCGTGAAATCTTTAGATTAAGGATGTTTTTATTTGGACTATAATTTGTCCCAGACCAGACCAGTCCAGACCAGACCAGACCAGACTTGGATAGTTATAAAAATACAAAGAAACTAGACCTTATTAGACCAGACTAGACTTGGATAGTTATAAAAATACAAAGAAACTAGACCTTATCAGACCAGACCAGACCAGATCAGACCAGACCAGCAAGTAAAAACATCCTAATCTAATGGATCAACTAGTCTCAATTGAGTTGTATTTTCGTGATACAAAACCGAGTTATTAACATATATTTTTAATGTCGTATTATAGTATATTAATGTTGTCAAATCGACTCTAGATTTACAGATGATTGTAAGCCTCAAAAGATCGTGTTGCAATGGGTAAATAGGAGTACAACTCGGTTGAGTAACATATAATTAAAATTACATGTGAATACCCCAATTTACTCGGAAAGTGGGTTTGACTCGAATTCAAGATGTTAGATGTATTTAACTCATTTCTTGTGTAGTGACATTATTGTCACAATCGGGATGTATGTTTACAACAAATCATTGTTTTGCGAAAATAGAAGTTTGTGACTTGCATGATTCGTGATGAAACCATGCAAACCCTGATAGATTCATTAAGATTTCTCGACTTCTCGTCCATATCCACTTTAATAGTTATGTGTACAACCCATAACTATGATCTCTATAGTCCGTTGCCGAGTATAGTACAAGATCATCCGAGAGTATCTTCATCTGAGTTGTGAACCAAGATTGGCTTAAACTTTGAATACACCATATGGATGACTTCGAAATGTAATTTGACTCGGTCACCTGAAAAATTTAAAGTCATTATTCATAGTTAGAAAAGCACATTGTGTTTTTCTAAATGCAAGAAGAATGAACCATATTTTGAGGCTTGCTAGATTTGTATTCAAATCGTGTATATGACTCGGTAAATACACAATCTCATTATATTATGATTGTGTAAATTTGGGTCAATTTGGAAGTCTTCTAATATTCATTGTGTTAGATCTACTATTTATACAACTTTAAATTTAGTATGTGCTTAAATTTGTGATAAGCGAGTCAGATACATGTAAGATTGGCTATATCTAAAATTGCATCTCGTACACTGTTGTTAAACATATTAGTAACCGAATATCTGCATGGTTTTGTCATGTCTCGATTGTCAATGGAGATCATCTAATTATAGTTGATAGTACAAAATTGCACAACTGGAGACTTGTATGTTTTTCAAAATGGAAAAAGGGACAAATTAGCCACTATGATAGAGTTAAAAGTGCAAATAAGACATTAACATTTTCATAGGTGCAAATATATAGCATTAAATTAAATATATAATTGGCTTTTAAGCCACCCACTAACGAAAGCAATAAACAGGATACAAACGGAGGTTTATTACAATCAACCGACAACTTTGATTCCTCATTCCAGTTTCCTTGTTCTAAAAAATCTGCAGGAGTATTTCAAAATCCCTAAGATTTTGGGGATGCTTGGTCGTGTTCCATAGCTAGTTGGGCATCATATAGTCCATTGGAGAAATGGAGCACATGTTTATTGAAACAAGCTTAATTTTGCTCATAAAATTCAGCAAAATCACAAACTGCTGCTCCGATTCATTATCAATTGAAGTGCTAAATGGTATGAGCTAGCAGGTATTACATGATTTACTATTCTGAGGTGATTTGTGGGAATAGTGGAAATTAAAGTGAAAGGTGCTCTGAAGCTTTTGGTGAAGTGCTAGCAGGTATTACAAAGAACATCCAGTCCGTTTTCAATTTGAGATTTTAGCAAGGTGTTCTCCAGATATGTGTGTACTTATAAAGGGACTTCTTGACAAATTTTTAGTGACAAACTAAAGCAAATCATGATAAACTAAACTCAAGTTTGGATGAAAATGTAGGGTGAACTCCAATTTGTCCAAAACTAATCAAAAACATGTAGTTCATATAGAGTAACTTATAGATAGTATCTTCTAGGTGATAAGATATCATATAGAGTAATCTCGACAGATTCGTTTTTTTTTTACCAATGTTAACATATTCGTTTAAAGCAGGGATAATACCCGTTATTACTGTTAGTGTTGGCTAAAATGCCTATTATGTAGTCAATTTAATGCTAATTGCACCTAAAAAAGGTTAGTGTCTAATTTGCACTTTTCCCTTTACCATAGTGGCTAATTTGCCCCTTTTCCCTTTTCAAAATATGAGTCAAGTCGTGAACCCAGTTCAGTGTTTTTCTTATACTTCGTAGAATAAACTAGACTATGAGTCTAATATGAGATGATACAAGTCTCATATTCAAGGGATTTGAATGTGAGACTTAATGAGTCGTGAACATATAAGTATTTAATAGTAAACATACACTTTAGAATACTAATCCGAGAATTCTAATCAACTGAGTCTTAAATTATATTGAAGACTTATCAAGTCTTCGGTATTCTTTCTCATTCACGACTCAAGTCTAAATTATGAATAGAAAAAACATACAAAGGGAACCCATTGCAACTCGAAATGAGATCATCCGATGTCGTATTCAAAATTTAAGCCTGAAAACTACATACTGAGCCTATATCATGTCCATCATTTTACGAATTTAAGTCCATATAGCCTCATCAGTATACCACGGATGTGAATTGAGTATTTGTTTTGACTAGAAATTAACTAATCTAAGAATATGATTGAATTGGGAATCAAGCAAAATAGAATCAGAAATGAATGGATTGATTGAGAAATAATATTGATAAAAAGCTTAATAATCTGAATAGCTTGAATAGAGTATAACACTTGTACGTAAAATGTTGATTGTGAAAGAAGGCCCCCCTTTTACATAGTTACTATCTAATCTATTTAATGGGATGAGGCTTCCCCTTCCGCAAGACAAGCCACGTGCGCCGATTGACAAGGTGAACTTATCCTTGATCTTATCCTTCATATTTATTGACTTAAATAATTACAAGTCAGATTCATCCTAAAAGACCTTGGGCTGACTTCTGATTTCAATTAAATCGTTGGCCCAATTGACAAGGTGAACTTTTGGCCCAACAATTGCCCCCTTTCGGGAAGTTGAGGCATAGGGGCGCACATGTCAACCCGTTAAGCGTCAACTTGTCGAAATCTTGCACGTCATCCTTGAATACAGCTCATATAAACTCGTCCTTTGTCTGATAAGACATGTTGTCAACCTGCCATTTGTATAACAAGACGCCTTTGTCAACTCACCACTTTTCTGACGACATGCTCCCTTCAACCTGTCACTCGTCTGCTACTTCCATTAACCTGTCATATGCTTATCTAGACGCTTCTATCAACATGTCACTATCCTTGCAAGTAGTTTTTAGATCGAATTTGTCTCCTTGAGTGAGGTGACGAAGAACGAAGGCTGGTCTCCTGTCATCTTCCTCCCAATTTGTGCTAATGAACGTATCTAAACAATGCTGACAAGTTGAAACTTCGTCCAGATTGATGTCGACACTTCGGTTGGCAATTATGATTTTGTCCCTCGTTGTATAAATGACGAGTTTGGCTCCGTACCCTGCAAAAAAAAACTTTAAATATCCTTTCGTTTATGGTTTTAGTAATAGCGTCGACATGAATACTAATGATTTATGTCAATGTCGTTTGTATTGTCTCCTTATGTTTTGGAGCTTGTGTTGTCATGCTCTTGGAGCACATGCTTCTGTTGTGTGTTTATGTAGTTTCATGTTGTGTTGTGTTGTTTGTGTAGTTTTGGCCAAAACTTGTAGGGATTCTCGGTCCGTGCCTCATATTTCATATACGAAGGACTCAAGTTTGCCCCACCATCCCTTGTTGCGGGGTTTGTGTTAGCGGTTGTCGCTATGCGCGTAAGGTTTTGGCTATCTTTTGCCCTGTCAGCATCCTGCACACAAACATTCTGTCAAGTCTGGTCGTTGGCTTTTGGCCAACGGCCCTCCGATGCTTAAGTTAGTAATCGTCATAATAGCGAATTAATTAAACAAAACTTTACTTAAAGAAAACAACTTTCCATGCTGTTACCCATATTCGTAATACAAAAACTGCCTTATTTAATTTACACAAATACCTTTGAAAGCATCGACGAGACTGGTAGCAACATTTATGATGAAAATTAAAACAAGACTTCAACACAGTTCGCTTAAAGTGTGGTAGAGAGTTGACGAATTGATGGGAGTTCAGTTGCGGGATTGATCCTTAGTGACAACATGCTTGTTTACTTTACCGTCACGTTCGATCAGCTTGAAATCGTCGGTCAGTACCTGTTCAATGATTAGTTTGGCCATTGACTTGGGGTCAACGGCCCTCCGACGACCAAGTTAGTAATGGAAACCAAAGAACAAAATGTTGACTATATTTAATAAACTAGAAGTGAAAAGGTTTTAGGTGTACCGCATTCTAGCTCCTTGGTACTTGCTTACCGTCGACAGACTGTAGTCGGTATGCCCCTTGTCCGACGACTTCAATCATGTCGTCAAATCTACCTCATCACAGAAGTGGCAACTCGTTCTTCTGGTCTCGAATAAGGTCTTCCGTGCTTGTAGTCGTGCCTCCTGGGGGATTCTGATTTCCCGTGCCCCCCTTCCTGCTCAATCTGTCCGTGACGGGCTCGTAAGTCTTCTTCTAGACGAATGAAAGCTAGTGCCTTTGCTTGGACATCTTCGAAGGATCGAGTAGGATATTTCGTCAACTCCCGATATAACTCTGAATCCTCCAGCAGTCCTTGTCTGAATGCTTCCCGATATAACTAAGGGAGAAGGGGGCGTCAGCCAACAGTCTAATTTCTGGCCAAACACCCTCACAGAGAAGCAGCAGGTTCGAATTAGGGGAAAACAGGGTGTTCGCAAGTCCAACCCCCATCGGCTGAGAATGAGACGAATATATAGGCAAAGCATCGGTGAAATAGATGGTAACTTACCAAGTTCAGAGATATGCATTGACTCGAGTAGCAACGAAGGAATCGAGTCGGGAAGGAAAGTAATCGGACAAGAAGGATGGCCGAGTTTCAACCATAAAACAACGGGCCGGGTACAAAAGAACGAATGGGCTTATGGGGAAACAAGACCGGGCCAATACCTTACAGAAAGGAAAACGTGTTTTACACTATTCTAGGGTTCCCTATGCAAAAATACAATAACTAATGAAAATAACAATGTTCATATACCATGGGTTCTCGTACACTAAGTGAATACATTAGATGCAATGACACATATACAAGCCTCATAACAGATATTTAACGATGGGATCAACTCAGGACTAGTTGTATAACTTGTATCCCTGTTCAAAAGCCTATTCTCGATCGTGTTAATGTACCGAAGATGCCCTTTAAACATGAAGGCTTACATGATTTTGAACTTGTAAGCCTACTTATCTTGGGTACATCCAAATATCATACACCATCAATTGGGTTCCATTGGACAGTCGTTCATTAGGAATGTTAACAATGAGACACTATGAGTTGATCCATCGTACATATACGAAAAATACAACCGAGTCCAATTCCGACTCGGTATTGTTTTCTATACATTGTATGTTGCAAATTATACCCATTTTGTGTAAACATAGTGTTTTGCAAATTTTAATCATAAGTCTGCAATGGGAAGTCGTGAGCGAGAATTGTGTATTTCATATGAATAGAAAAAAACATATAAGTCTCCAGTGTTTTGAGGCAACGAGAAACACATATATATTTCTATGTGAACGAGTCTAGAGGAATACGACCATTGTGTTGTCGGTGAATATTTACGGGTAAGTATGTTGATTACACATGTTAAACTAGTATGTCTTGTGAAGACCATATATTGAATACTCATATGACAAATTTATGTATAATCTGCCAAGTATTACAACTGTGTATAGCATATTAACCCAATTATGTAATAATTGGGTTAATATGCTATACACAGTTGTAATACTTGGCAGATTATACATAAATTTGTCATATGAGTATTCAATATATGGTCTTCACATGACATACTAGTATTAATTACTCATAATTGGTAAGTATTACATCAACCCATTTAATGTAAACTATTATGGGTTAGACATGTGTAACAATCTTGGCAACGTTGAGTTATGATTAAGAGATATTACCCGAAATAGGATTAAAAGAGTTTAAAATTCCAAAACAGGACTGCCATGTTTTTATTCCCAAAATAGGACTTATTACTACCATGTTTTGGCAGTATCAGACTTTAAACATGACAGTATTTTCCAAACATGGCAATAATTACTCCTATTTTGGGAATAAAAACATGACAATCCTATTTTGGATTTTTCAAACTTTTTTAGTGCTATTTCGGGAAGTTTCCATACGATTAACCGTAGGATTACAATTGACCACTTAATGTATTTATACATTAAGTATAAATACATTGTAATGCTAATTGACAACGACAATTAAGTCCTATTAATACCATAATAGTATGTGTTTGACACAATATTCATATAGTTTGAAAAACTATATGAAGTTTGATGAGACTACATTGAAGTACAGTCGATATGCCAAGTTTATATTACAATGTCAAACTACATAAATAATGATTTTGACTATTATAGTTTAGTGATATGAACTAATGTTCCAATGATTACTCGGATACTATCAGAACGATGTAGTTATGATAGTATGTGATCATGGATCTACTGAGTCATTGTGATCATGTGTAATTATTACCTAATCACTTGATATCTAAGTGTTCTATGTGTATGAATTAGTCAACTTTCTATTCACTCGAGTCATTCATTGTACCATATATTTATGAGTATATACACTTGTTTTACATCAGGTCACATTTTATCCAATGTTTTCAGGCTTACTAAATCAACCAAGTCACCAAGATTGACTTGTCAAATATTGATACATCAAAAATATATTTCGACATATTTTTGACAACACTCTATTCGTATACTATTATTGAATACCTATTAGGACATACTACTAACAACCATGTAAATGGGTGAATATAGTACAACGTGTCATCCTATGAATATAACTAATTGAGAGTAGTCCATTTAGTAATATGCAATATTTATGGAGCATACAATCACGAAGTCTCTACAAGACTTGATGATTGTATACACCTGATCGATTGTAATACTATTACAATGAGGTGCATACAAAAGTCGTGACTCGGATGACTTATATATGACTTTTACACAATTCCCCAAATTGTGTCTATATCAATTTAGGCACAATTATATTGTATGTATATTTTGTATACATTGTAGTTGACTCATTATACAATTTACTTCATCCTAGTAAATTGGCTTAGTAAATCGTACATTTTTCATCGTTGTAGTTGTTCATCGATGAGTTACATATATTTTTGCTGATTGAATACATTATATTGAGTATTTAGACATTCCTTACTCACTAACATAGTCAATCGTATGGTTATTCTCTGGAAACATTAGCAATTATCTGAGGATATTCTCTGGAAACATTCAAATAACCGATAATGTGCACATTGTCTTCATAATGTCCAAAATATGAATAGAAACCCAGATTTGCAAGAAGTCATTGCAAGGCGTAATGACTAATCGCGACTCAATTTTGACTTCCGTGAAAACTCCGAGTCAGTAAGTGGACACAATTCTCGATCTTCTGGATGTCCAATCCCGTATTTATATCAACCGAGTCACACTGACTCACGAAGACAATGTTTTGAGAGTAAAATTATGTTCACATTGATATCATCCGAAATGAGATCAACTTGAAATTTTCACTGGAGACTTGCACTCAAAAAACATACAAGTCTCCAGTGTTTTCAAGCTTACTCGTTTTTTTACATTGTATACCCTCAAACACAAGTCTAGGGATAGAAATGTGTTTGTTACCTATGATCTCATTTCGAGTTGCAATTGGCTTTTCTATTTGGTGTTTTTCAGGCTTACCCATCCGATGTATTTCCTCAATCAAAATACACTTTAATTGAGGAACCCATCCGATGTTGTATTTTGGATGATTTCCGAGTATATGATTCCAACCCATTAATTTTGAGTCGTGAAGACTATACTCGAAAATACATAGGTTCGAATATTAATGTGTTTAATGGACATTTTCTAATCACTGGTTGAGTCATTGTATTCAAGTCATATACCATAGTGTATAATGAATTAGACATATCCATTTGCAAGTGGGAATACCGATATTAAATGACGTGTATCATATTATTGTATTTGATAAAACTGAGTTTGTATTTATGATATATGGTCATTACATATTTCATAAATTTTTGAATATACAATTCTGCAATTACCGTAAAGTAATTGCAGATCAGTGAGTATTATATGTTTATTACATACTTGAGTAAGTGGCTAATATGAATTGTAAACATACTCAATTTGTTAATTTAACTAATTGAGTATAATCAATTTGAATCGTGTTTTAATATTGGATCACTATAATCCATATTGGTTACTCTATCATTGTAATATTGATATGTAATATTGGTGTACTTTAACATTTACGGTATAGCAATTAATCTTGTAAACTGAATCATAGTCGGTATTAAATACCGATTGGAGTATGTAAACTTGACCCAATTAACCCATTGTTATCATTTCAACTCCATTGCATCAATTTTAGAAGCCATTACATGGTTTCTACAGGTTTGCATTACAATCGGTGGTAGAATTATTGTGTACACAACTGGGTGACATACGAGAATTGTGTATTTTTGCATAGGGAACCCATTGCAACTCGAAATGAGATCATACGATGTCGTATTCAAAATTTAATTTAATTTTCGTGACTCGGTTGATTTAATAAGTCTCAAAACACTGGAGACTTGTATGTTTTTTCTATTCATATTTTGGACTTGAGTCGTGAACGAGAATTGTGTATTTTTGCATAGGGAACCCATTGCAACTCGAAATGAGATCATCCTATGTCGTATTCAAAATTTAAGTCAATCTTCGTGACTCGGTTGATTTAGTAAGTCTGAAAACACTGGAGACTTGTATGTTTTTTTCTAGGGAAAACTACAGTAAACGTACTTGTGGTTTGGGGTGTTTTCAATTCGGGGCATGAGATTCATTTCTTGACAACCACGGGCGCGTGATTCCACTCCGTTATCTCACCCGGGGCACCGACCTTACGACGTTAGTAATAACTGACGTGGCAAAATTTTTAACGGTGAAATTTGAAATGGTTCATCTACGCATATACACGTGGCTTATCTTTTCTACTTAATTATTAAAACCCTCCAGCCTCTTGTTTAAGGCTGTCCTTAAGACGTCGGTGAAGGAAAAAAAGAAGGAAAGGCGAGTAAGACGGCGATGAGTTCTTCGAGCGCTGAGTCCCAGTGGATGGATGGAAGAAGACGAATTAAGAGGTGTGAGTGTGGACTCCAAGCACCGGTGTGGACTGCTACGACAGACAAAAACAGGGGGAAAAGATTTCATGGGTGCGGTCGTTTCTTGAGTGCTCAAAAGTGCAATTTTTTTGAATGGGTTGAGGATGAAGAATGTGTTACTTGTTTGAGACGGATAGATACTTTGCTCCAGAAGATTACCAGTGTTGAAGACAATTTCCGAGTGAAAGAATTGGAGATGCAAGCTGAAATCAAGAGTTGTGTTCGGGGGATAGGGCTTTTGAAACTCCAAAATATGGAAGAGGAACTTAAGATGTCAAAGAAAGGCAATAAGACTTTCTCCTGGAATGTAGTGTGGTTCGGGTTGTTGGTTATCATCTTGTTGGGAAGTAGGATATATTAGGTGTGTAAGGTTGCCATGTGTTTGATAAAATGTGTCACTCAAACTTCAGTATCAATTAATTGTCATTTTCTTTAGTAGATGTTTAGTTCTTGTGTGGTTGTATGTGGGTACTGATTTGGTTGTTGAATTTGGTTGTATTGTTGTAATGAAGATTATGAATTTGGTTATGAAGATTATGGTCTTTTTGAAGCTTTTGTTGTACATATCCCACTGAGGGATTTCTGCAAAATGGGTTTAAGCCATTATGGAAGCATATTATATGACAAGCAAATCAAATGTGAATGATATTGTTTGAGTCCTTAAGCTGTTGTTCTTTATTGTCATTTTTATTATCATCTTTGACTCCCTAATACATCCTACTAGGACACATCAGATTAGCAATCCCATACTGAAACATAATAATCTGATGAACATCCAATTGTAAGTATAATAAGAACATCATATTATACTGAAACATAACAATATGACATGTTATACTGAAACATAACAATCTGACCCATACTCATTTGATTCCATCCAAAACAACTACACAGTTCCTGCCTTTTAAGATAAACCAAAGCAATTTGTGCCCAGACAGACCATACATTCATTGCTAAAATCCATCCAATACATAGTACACATTACATTTCAGCAAAATAACTGCAAAAACCAATCCAACTGACATCACAAATTGTCTGCTACATTCATCACAGTTACAATTACAATTACATCACAATAACATTAAGCCCAGACATCTTTTCAGCAATTATATGACATCTATTCAAATTGAAGCACCCCCATGTTCAACAATGTTTCTCCTGCACACATAAACAACAATTTTAATAGTTATACAACAATTTTAATAGTTATACAAGCACTGATTTAAAGGTCATTAATGTCACACCATTAAGTCATACCAGGGACTGTGGTGGTTGTGAACTGCAAGATCTGGTAATTCTTCTTGATGAAGTTTGTTGTGGTTGAGAACTATAAGTATTTCTTCTTTTTCTTGAACTTGTTGCATTTGGAGTGGAAGCAATGGGAACTGATTCACTGGTGGTCTGCACAACCTGAGTGTTGACATGAGAATCTGCATTTTCAGCTTCATGAGCATCAGGTTCTTGGCCTCCTCCTGTGGAAGACTTTTGTTTTCTTAGCCTCATTCTTCTCTGCCATGGGGTTTCTCCTGTAAGGGATGTCTTACATCCTCTTACATTATGGCCCACCTGCTTACAATTACCACAAACAACCTGTTTTCCAGACCTAGAAACCTTATATGGATTCCTTGTTTCTTCAGGAGCTCTAATTCTCTTTTTCTTTGGTCTACCAGCTGGCTTTCTTGGAATGGGTGCCTTGATGTCAGGGTAGTCAGTGGTTTCCCACTCTTCTTTACTAGGGACAGGGTGGATCATATGGTTATACACAGCCAGGTAGGTTTCTTTTGAGTAATAAGGACTGACATACTCCTCGGGTTTTTCTCTATTGGCATAAATAGCAGACACTCCATGTTTGCAGGGGATACCATTTAAATCCCACATTCTACATGTGCAACTTCTTTCATTCAAGTTGACCACATAGCTTCTATCAAAATATTCTACCTCATAAAGCTTGTCACCAGCTGGTGTGCAAAAACAATTCCTACTCTCATACTTGTATTTTTCTAGAAGGTCCTGTTTGTTAGGACAGATTGCCCCCTTGTATTTCACCATCCCAGTGTACTTCACATGAAACCTTTTCATTAACCGTTTTCTAATCCATTCAAACATACTTAGGATAGGCAAATCTCTAGCTCTAAGAATGTAAGAATTGAAAGACTCACATATGTTGTTTTGTAGAGCATCTGACTGGGTGTGTGGTGAGAAATGAGCCCTACTCCAAGTCCTGGGGTCATATTGCAGCAACCAAGTGTGGGCAGCCTCATCAAAACTCTTAATGGCTTCCATATGTCTCTGCCAGGACCTTAAACTTCCAGTGCTTGCTGCTAACCACAACTTTTTCTTGTACTCCCCACCCCTGAAAACCTTCTTATAGTTCTCATACATATGTTTTAAGCAATATCTATGCTCATTCAATAGATTGACAGCCTTAAAAGCCTCAATTAACCCCTGAAATAAGTGTACATGTACAAAATATACATAGTAAGCAATTATAAGTTACAGAAAAAAAACACAATTAAAAGAGCATGAGTGCAAACAGTCCTTACCTTCTGTTTGTCAGACATGAAAGTCCACTTAGTCTCTTCTGGTCTTCCAAAGTCTTCAAAGAGAACCTGTAGGAACCAAGTCCATGAAGCTTTGTCTTCGCTGTCAACATATGCAATAGCCAGGGGAAACATATTCTCATTTCCATCCCTGGCAACTGCACATAGAAGTTGTCCTCCCATTGAAGTCTTCACATGGCACCCATCCAAGCAGATTAAGGGTCTTAAACCTGAAAAGTAGCCTTGTCTCTGAGCTGTGAACCTCATATACATGTATTGAAATATTGTGACCTCTTTGGGTATTGAAGGAACTGCCTCACTCACAGCTGCTTGTTGGACCTCCTCAGAGAGTACCTCAGTTTTAATCTTGACAAGACTACCTGGATTATACTTAAGGACAGTAGCAGCATAATCTCTTAATCTCCTATACTGCTCTGTGATATCACCGGCAATCTTGGCCTTTGCTTTAACTCTCGCTCTATAACACATGGCAAGACTGACCTGCACCCTAAGTTGCCTTTGAATTGTCTTTTGCATTGCTAAAACATCCCAGTTTGGATTGTCTCTCAACTCATCAAGAAATTTCTCACTCAAATAGGTGCTTGTCACTAGACTATTTCGATTACTAAAGGAACACTCATGTTTGGGCCTGAAAGTCTTTATTTGGAAATACCCAGAATCACTCATTTTTGATGCATGAACCCGGAATGAACAAGTTTCCTTATTTTTGCAGACCACAGTGATGTTAGCTCTTCTATTGTTCACATACTTGAAATCAAATGCACTTTTAACAGCCCACTCCTTTAAAGCTTTTCTGAATTCCACATGTGATGTGAATCTCATACCTTTGCACAAATCACCATGTTTAGATCCATTGCCTGCATTAAAATCAGGAGTATTTCCCTCATCATCTGAAGATCCATTATAGCTGTGAAGGTCATCACTGTAGGCTGCCTCTTCATTGAACTCATCTAAGTCTTGGTCAACCACAGTGTCTTGATTAAAGTCTGGTGTATTCCCCTCATCATGAGCTTCATTAAACTCGGGTGCTTCATCTTCACTGATCAAATCCTGAAAAACTTCATCTTCACTGCCTTCTAGATCTTGATATAACCAGCTTGCTTCATCTTGACTAACATGTGAAAGAGACCGCTTTTCAGAACTAGATTCACTCACACTACTTGACAGTTGGTAATCTTCATCTTCAGTATCACTGTGGTATTGTGCTTGTAGAAATGCAGGAAGACCCTGAGGTTCAGGCTGGGATTGTAATGGAGTGTGGGTTGACTCCACACGAATGAGTGGTTGTAAAAAAGGACTTGCATCACAGGTTATGGCTATATCAGTACATGGAGTTGAATCACAAGTTGGGGTCGCATCTGCACTTTGGGAAGGGTTTGAGGGGCCTTCTGGTACTTTTGCTTTCCCTTTCCCTTTTGGACTCTTCTTTGAGACAAAAAACAATTCAATGTATGGGTCCATTATGTTGCAAAGAAGCATGTCATGTACATCCTTATCACATTCAATTTCTTGTAAAGCAGCTGGGCCACATACATCTTTAATTGCAAACCTTCTGAACCATATTTGTACACCATCTTTATAGCCCAAGTCCTCTGCATACCCATCCAATTCGAACTTACTGAGGTAGTCAATGTCTACCTTTTCCTTTTTGGTCACCTCACCCCCCAAATATTCCCTTTTTCTTTTTTGCACAGTCCCATTTACCACCATGGTGAATAACCAAGTTCACATACTCTGTCATTCCGACCTATACATACATTTATACATTTGAAATTAACCACAAATTATACATTGCAACCTATGAATTTAACACACAATCCACTCTAGAAACTTAAACATTCAGTACAAAAAGATAAGCTCAAATGCTTTACTTACGTTTCACAGAAACGTCAGCTGTTTACCGGTCGCCGTCTTCTTATGTCACTTCACCAGCAAAATCGACCCACGGTCACCGGCGCTGACATACACTGAAGCTTTCGTCCTTATTAAACCTAAATTGTAAGAATAAAGCATGGTGTTTAATTCTAAATTCAATTCCAAGTAAATCATGTGTTGGAGCGGACGTGGCCAAATAAATGATGCCACGTCAGTTATTACTAACGTCGTAAGGTCGGTGCCCCGGGTGAGATAACGGAGTGGAATCACGCGCCTGTGGTTGTCAAGAAATGAATCTCATGCCTCGAATTGAAAACACCCCAAACCACAAGTACGTTTACTGTAGTTTTCCCTTTTTTCTATTCATAATTAATTTGGACTTGAGTCGTGAATGAGAATTGTGTATTTTTTCAATGGAGACTTGTATGTTTTTTGGATAGAGATCTTAAGACTAGCTTAAATTTCGCATAAATCGGATGAATCGAAATGATCCCATGATCTCGTTCCAGTTGACATTACACTCATATCTAGTCAATGAGTGTAATAATGCGATAAAAAGTGACAACTTTTGTATTCAATATTATGTTTTCATAATATGTAACACTTATAGTCAATCCGGTAGATTAAGCCAATATTGAGATCTCAGCCTTCAGTGTTACTGGAGTCTCAAGTACTTGTAACTCAAGTACTTAGATTTATTCTTAAATCTTCGATGTCGTTATAAAATTGAGTAACGAAGATTGGCTTAAATTTTGCGAGTCACGAAGATTGACTTAAATATCCAAACATCCGATATTAATCTCATTTTAGCATTCAAATTTGAGTCAATATTACACAAGATTGATAGTATTTTTGCATAGGGAACCCATTGCAAAAATACAAGTCTATTCATGTCCGGACTAATCTCATTTCGACTTGTATCCCTATACACAATCGTATCTCATTTCGAGTTGCAATGGGTCCCCTCAAAACATGAATAGACTTGAATTTTTGCAATGGGTTT